GTGTGTGTGTGTGTGTGTGTGTGTGAGTATGTAAATCGCTTATAACTTTCGAACGGTTGAACCGATTTCATCGTGGTTGGTGCCATTCGAAAGGGCTTCCCTAAACTTAGATTCTCTGAAAATTTGAACTGATTCGGACCGATAGATTTTAAGAAATTTGGAAAAAGCTGAAAAAAAATAAGAAAAAAATCATTTTTGAAAGTGGTTTTTTTGGAATATCTTTTAAACGGCTCGATCGATCAACTTCAAAAACTAATGCGCCCTTAAGCTTGAAAAACCATGCCGATCAGCGCTAATCCGGTCAAAATCGGTTGATTCATTCGAGAGATAGCGTGAACGAAAAAAAACCGAAAAAACCGAAAAAAGTGTTTTTTTCACATAACTTCGTCATTTCTTCTTGGATCGTTTTTGATGATATAGAATAATTTTAGAGCTTAAAAAACCGCGTCGATCGCCGCCAAAACCGTGGAAATCGGTTGATTAGTTCGACAGATATCCTCGACGAAATATTTGGAAATAAGGATTTTTTCAACATAACTCCATTTTTTGGAATAACTTTCAAACAGCTCTACCGGTCGATTTCAAAAACTCATCAGCTCTTAACATCAAAAAACCACGTCAATTGCCACCAAGCTGGTCAAAATCGGTTGATTCGTTCGAGAGATATCGTGAACGAAAAAAAACCGAAAAAAGTGTTTTTTTGGGATTACTCCGAAATTTTCGGTTCGATAAATTAAAACCTGAAAATAACTTATGAGGATGATAAAACTGCGTCGAATGGCGTCAACGGCGTGAAATTTGGTTGATCCATTCAAAAGTAATTGCGGTTTGAAAATTCCAAAAATAGTGTTCTATGAATCTTCTATCAGACTTTTGAGCTGGGAGAGCTCAAATACATAGAAATATTATTTCTTTGAACTCAGCGAGCTCAAAATATCACATAAATTATATTTTGAGCTCAAAAATCTCAAAAATGTCATAAGTACAATTTTAAGCGCCCAGGAATGGAATTAGCGGGAAGTTGCACGGATGGCCTTTAGGGTGAACCGTTTTTCTAATTTTTTTTTATACGAAAACGTTTCTTAAGTCATCAAAATTTTGCGGATTGAATTTTAGTCACTCAAGGCTCTAAATTTCAACGGACGACCAGCTCTTGCAAATGTCAGTGCCCTTTACCTGATAAGTGTGATTTGGAGTGTAGCAGAATCTAGCCCATGAATCAGTCTAATAACTTTAATTACTTACAAATGACGCAGTAATGATTCACTGATAACACAATGGTCCGTGGCGTTGCTTCTTAGTGATTGAAGGTGGTAAATGGAACGATGGCGTTCATAAAGCTTGAATTTATTTTAACACAAACAATCACTTCCTTCAATATCAGTGATATATTTAGTAATGAAAAACGAGATATACTCAGTAATGAGCTCGAAGGAAAAGGGGGACCACTCAATAAGAATTTTTCGATAACAAAAATAATAAGTCGGAGAGCACGGACTGAGAATCGGACCCGGATGTTTTGGTTACGCACGAAGGGCTTTTCCAGTGAAGCTATCTGAGACATCGTTGGTAACATCCTTTCAGTCACCTAATAACTTTTTGTTTAACATGATAACAGAAAAATATTTTTCAAAATATAGTCCATGTAACTATTTAGCAATAGTTACTTTCACTATTGCATAGTTTGAGTAACTACGAAAAAAAAGTTCAGAAAACTATATTTTCATACTTGTGACGTTATAATTCAGCCAACTATGGACTTTTCTCTCAGTGTATAAATGATTCTATACAAATCACAACCCGGAATAAAATCATCGTACATGATCCAATTTGGTCTAGCTGGATCATGCATGAAATCTTTGAAGGCGGTAGAGATTATCATGCACGATTGTGCATAGCTTTGAACGTTTATGCATGATTCAAGCTTGACCAAACTGGATTAGGTGTGACCATTTGTGATAAAGCAGAATAAGTGAGCATAACCCTGCTTTTAGCTTTGTATGATCATTGGTGATCATTCCGAAACAACACTTGTTTGTTTTTATAACTATTTGGTGTCGAACAACTTTTTTGTAATGGATAGAATCAAATAAAAATTAGGAAAACGGTTGACCCTGAAGGCCATCCCTGCAACTTCCCGCTAATTTCATACCCAGGCACTTGAAATTGCACTTATGATGTTTTTGAGCTCTTCGAGCTCAAAAATACAGTTTATGTGTTATTTTAAGCTCTCCGAGCTTAAATAGATAGCTTTTCTATGCTTTTGAGCTCAGAAATAGACAAATAGAAGTTTGATAAAACACTATTTTTTGAATTTTCAAACCGCAGTAACTTTTGAATGATCAACGGATTTTCACGCGGTTGGCGGCAATCGATGTAGTTTTTTGAGCTCTATAAAAAATTTTCAACTAAAAAATTGATCTGATGGAACATTTCGGAGTTATTACAAAAAAACACTTTTTTCGATTTTTCTCGACAACGATATCTCACGAACGCATCGACCGATTCTGACGCACTTTGTGGCGATCGATGCAGGTTTTTAAGGTTAAGAGCTGATGAGTTTTTTAAGGTCGATCGGTTTAGCCAATTCGGAGATATTTTGAAAAAATGAAAAAAAAATACTTTTTTTTCACATTTTTTGCAATTTCTCGAAATCTACCTGTCCGAATGGGTTCCAACTTACAGGAAATGTAATTTTGGCAAAGCCCTTTCGAATGACACAATCTGCAATCAAATCGGTCAAGCCGTTCAGGAGTTATAAAAGGTTTACACACAAACATATACACACACAAATTAAAGGATCGCGTTTTTTGCTCTGAAAAGCTTATAATTTTTAAAAATGAGAAAAAAATTGTTTTTCCGAGCTTTTTCACATTTTTGTTCTAGTAAGTGCTTGAATTAAAAAAAAAAAAATTTCAAAAAAAAATTTTTTTCTTAACAAGTTAAGGAAATTCAAAAAACCATCGTCCAATCATTTTTATGGCGTTTCCGCCGCTGCATTCCTTGATTCTACTGACTTCCTTTCAATTAAATTAAAAAAAAAAGTTAATACCCCCAATTGAATTTCGATCTTTTTTATACGCTTTTCGAAGATTATTTTTCTTTACTTTTCGTAAATCCTTAGCAAATTGCTTAATTCAACAGTTGTTTCCAAAACTAATCCCTTGGCGCTAAAAGAAATTCTTTTTAATTTTTTCGGTCAAAATTGAAAATTTCTTACTTTTTTGATTTTTAATCATGGTTAGACGACATTTATCGGAGGTGGAAGTTGCTCGGTTAGTGACTCTTATTGACGAAGGTTACAGTCAACATGCAGTTACCATCCGGATGGGTGTAATTCAATCCGTCGTATCTCCAGCTTATACTAGATACCAAGATTTTTTTCCACAAAAAAATTTTTTTTTTAATTTTTTTTCCGAAAAAAAATTTTTTTTTGGAATTTTTTTTTTTTTTTTAAATTTAAGCACTTTCTCGAACAAAAATGTGGAAAAAGCTCGGAAAAACAATTTTTTTCTCATTTTTAAAAATTATGAGCTTTTCAGAGAAAAAAACGTGATCCTTTAATTTTTTCAAAAATTCGATCGAGTGAAACAAAAAAACAGCTGGCTGGATTAATTTGGTTCTTTGAAGGGTTTTTGTGGACATATTGAACTGTAAAAGGCACACTTAACAATAGTGGTTTTCTCAATATTTTCGATCAAGCGCTTGATTTTTCAAAAAACCACCAAAAGCCCTTTTTTTATTGCATTTTCAAATTCATGTGACAAAAAGAAAAATTTTTTTTTTCGGAAAAGCAATGGCCAGTCGTTAAGGAGAATTCATTCAAGTTCTTGAAACCCACCTTTAACTTTCTGTGCGATCATTGGTTGCTGAGATATCGATAATCAAAGACAAAAGGATCCTTTTCCTTTTGAAGACCGATATCTCGGCGAGAAGTAGGCGTATCAAGGTGTATAAAAAAAAAGACCATTCGGCAGCCGAAATGGAAGTAGATTTCATCATGAATAGAAAAAAATATAACGAAGAATGTATACAGAACTAGGGCTTATAACTTATATGCAATCGACAAAATTATATATCGACGGACAAATACTAAAACCAGTGCAATAGCAAATTTCATAATTGGCATAGGGAAATGGGACATAATTTTGAGATTACACATATGACATGGTACTCATATTGAAGCTTATTTAAAGAGCTTTCAGATGCAATTTACAGAAATTCAATAAATTATCCCATTCCAAAGTTATTCGGGTTAGAAAGTGAAAAATTTGAATTTTTATAATTTTGAAAATTTTCAAATCCTGGCATTTCTAAAAAATTTTACGACTACACATATGATGTGGTACTCAAATTGAAGCTTATTTAAAGAGCTTTCAGATGCATTTTCCAGAATTGCAATAAGTTATCCCATTCAAAAGTTATTCGAGTTCGAAAGTGAAGAAATATGAATTTTTATGATTTTCAAAATTTTGAAATCCTGGTATTTCTAAATTACTTGACCGATTAAGCTCATCTTCGAACTTGACTTTAGTATTTATCTGTAGAATAAGTATGTTGAGTTTGGTAGAGATCCGTTGTAAATTGGCGACGCCATTGTCGTGACAAGTCGCGTTATATCCAATATATATATATATATATATATATATATATATATATATATATATATATATATATA